CGCCCCTGGTGCGCGGGGGCGCCTGCCACGACGGGGAGGGCCCACGACGGGGCAGCCTCAGCCTCGGCCCCAGGCCTGGATCCAGCCAGGTCCTTCTAGCACGGCGGAGGGGCGCTTGTTCTGTCTGCCGGCAAAGGGAAGTGGGGAGCAGCTGCCTGCAGGGTCCAGGGTGTCCACCTTCCCCTCTGGCAGGGCTGGGTATGGGCCCTGTCCTGGGCACCTGTAGGGGTGCCCGGGGCACGTGGAGTGACCTCTGTCCCTGACGGCTGGAGCAGACGTGAACAGGCCATGGCGGCCTGGCTGCCAGGTTCTGACCTTTCCTGGGGCTTGGGCACGTGGGCGAAGACTCCGGCTGCCCCTGGTTGTTTAAAATGTGGCCCTCATGGCTGTGCTCCCGTGGGTGTCCCCACACTCACCACACGCCTCCTCCTCAGCTCGGAGAACTCGACCAGCAGTGCCGACGCCTCCAGCAACAAGTTCGTGTTTGGCCAGAACATGAGCGAGCGGGTTCTGGTGAGCGGCCGCAGTGGGACCCGGGGCATGGCTATGAGGGTAGGAGGGGTCGGCTGCGAGCCAGGGAAGGAGACTGCTCCAGCACAGCTGGGGACAGGGCTGTCCATCAGGACCACTCACGCGCCCTCCTCCCTCATGCCTCTGACCCCTGCAGAGCCCCCCAAAGTTAAACGAGGTCAGCTCAGAGGCCAGCAGGGAGAACGCGACTGCCGAGTCCGGGTCTGAGTCCTCGTCCCAGGAGGCCACCCCCGAGAAAGGTATGTACAGCCTGCTGCCAGTGGGGAGGGGATGCAGGACATGGTGGGGGCAGGGGGTGACGGGGACACTTTCTCCAAGTCCCCCCCGGGATGGAGGCACCAACCTTTCCCAGTGATGACCTGCGACCCTGCTGCTGAGTCGTCTAAAGCCAGGCTGGCAGCAGGGCTCTGAGTCTGAGCAGGACAGTTTCACCTGGCAGACCGGTCAGGCCTGGGTCAGCACTGCAGGAGAGGGTGGTCCAGAGCCATTGCCCCGTTGCTTCGTGCTCCCAGGCAGCAGGCCAGGAAGGGCTCTCAGCATCCTCTCAGGAACCCCTTGCTGTCCCCTGCTGCACAGGGAGGTCGGCACTCCAGAGGCGGGGGCAGCTCATAGGTGGCCTCCCTACGGAGTCTGAAGTCCAGGGGTGTCCTGTCCAGGGCCCACTGCAGATGCCAGGTCTGGCCTGCTGGGGGCAACTGGCATCCTTGAGGCCAGAGCCAACCCCCTCTGTCTCCTGGGAGGGTGTCCTCTCCCTAATCGACGGCATAGTCAACCTTGTTCACCCAATAACATCACAGAGTCCCTGGTTGAGTCAGCCGCCGCCTACACCAAGGCAACTGCACGGAAGTGTTTGCTGGAGAAAGTGGAGGTCATCACCGGGGAGGAGGCGGAGAGCAATGTGTTACAGGTGAGAACCGGGCCGCGGGCGAGGGCCGGGCTGTGGGCGAGGGCCAGGCTGCGGGCGAGGGCCGCCTGTGGGCAAGGGCTGGGCTGTGGGTGAGGGCCAACTGCGGAAGAGGGCCAGGCTGCGGGCGAGGGCCGCCTGTGGGCGAGGGCTGGGCTGCACAAAGCCGGTCAGAGCACCTTTCCTTACTACCCAGAGTGAGCAGCTGTCGGTTCTGTCTCAGCACGAAGAAATCCATTGCATCCAGAGCTCCGCCTACCACCCTGCCCCTGTCCCCAGCTCCGTCCCCTCCTGAGGCTGCACTTGGGGCAGGGTGTTGGTGACATCAGCCACCTGGTCTCCCTCCCTTTGGCCTACACGAGTGTCTGTGCACAGTCCCTGCAGAGCGTTGGGGACGCATTGCTTTCTGACCTCCTCATTCTGAGACCTGCAGACCTTCCCCTGGAGGCTACCCACCAGCTGTCGTGTGATCTTCAATTAGTTTTTTCTTTTTAATTGCCAAAGGGCATTTGCGTGCACCAGATTGGAGGGAAGTGTAATGCAGTGGGCACGGTCACACCCACCGTCCCTCCTCCACCTCCATCCTGTCTGGGTTCGGGACACTCGCACGTGCCTGGTGTCTCTCAGGCCACAGGGGTGGGGTCCGGTGCCCGTGACTGCTAGGCCACAGGGCCAGCCCTGTGTCTTTCCTTTGAGATGTCATGCACATGTACTATATAATTCACTCTTTTTTTCCTCCTTGTTTTTCTTTTTTTTTTTTTTTTATGAATTTTTGCCATAGGGTGCATGTGCCCGCAGGAGAAAGACACAGAGAGAGGGACAGTGAAAAATCACCCCCCCAGAGAGAACGTCCACACCACGGTTCCTTCTCCAGGCTCTTTGGATTTTGGACGTGCACACACGTGCACCTGGCATCTCACAAGCTGCTACTTGCAGGACTTGAACCGCAGTCAGCCATGGGGATGGTGGGCCCAGCACCTTCACCACCACACCACTGCTGGCCCTAATCCACTCTGAAATCACTGTTGTTTTCACACACTCATCACATTCCAACGATTACCACAGTCTGACATGAAACCGTACTGCCCTTAAGAGAGACCTGTCCCCTGAACGGTCGCTCCCAGCTCCTGGCACCCTCGAGTCCACTTCCTGTCCCCATGGATTTGCCTGTTGTCAATATTGCGTAGAATTGGAACCACACACTGTGGGGCCTTCTGTGGCTAATGTCTCTCGTGAGCAGAGTATTCACAGTACATCCACATTGTGGCCGGAGCCGGAGCCCCGTCCCTGTTAATGGCCACGTACTATTCCATTGTAAGGGCGTACCGCAGTTGCATCACCCTTTCACCAGCCAGTACTTGCCGGCTCTTGTGAATGATGCCGCTACGAACAGGCCTGTACAGTCTCCGCGTGACCCTCGTTTCTCCCGAGTAGATGCCTAGCAGTGAGCACTGAACCACCTGGAGCCCCGTGTCTAGCTGACCCCTTGAGGGAGTGGCCAGGCTTTGCACCTTAGTGGCCACACCCCTGTACATGCCCACCAGCAGTGCTCCCCACACTCGATACCACCTTTCTGTTGAGTGGTGGCCCCCCGGGGGTGTGAAGTGGTATGTCATCGTGTTTGCTTGTTTGTTTTTGAGAGGTTTTTGCTATAGGGCGTGTGCGCTCGCCAGAAAGACAGAGGCAGAAAGTGAGAAGTCACCCCCCAGGGTGGGATGGCCACACCACAATCCCTTCTCCATTCTCCTCTCAGGATCTTGGGCACGCATGCACACACGCCCGGCGGGCCCAGGATTCGAACCGCGGTTGACTACATGGGAGTCCAGCAACATAGCCATTACACGGACTGCTGGTCCCAATTGTGGTTTTGATTTTTCCTTGTTTTAAGAATTATTTATTTTAACTTGACCAGCGTGTGAAGGTGGGGAGAGTGACAAAGCAAGCCAGCCGTCCAGGGCTTGGACCGCAGTCGGCCGTGTGGGAGTCCAGCACCTTAACCACCACGCCAGCTGCTGGCCCCAGATTGGTGCTTTCTCAGTGATATGTCCCATTTAATAACCCTTTTAAAATAGAAAACAGGACAGAGAGCTGGCCGGGGGTCACGTGGCTGCAGCCATAGCCCGCCCACCCTGGTAGTCCTTGCAGGCTAGTGGAGACCCTTGGGGGTCCCAGCCCACACCACCGGCCATCGGGTGTGTTCCAGATCCAGTGTAAGCTGTTTGTCTTCGACAAGACCTCGCAGTCGTGGGTGGAGAGAGGCCGGGGGCTGCTTAGACTCAACGACATGGCTGCGACCGACGACGGGACGTTACAGTCCCGACTAGGTGAGGTGTGGCGGGTCCCTGTGGGGCCGCTGAGGGTGGTGGGGCATTCAGAGTGCTCAGAGGCGGGGCCAGCAGATGGTGTAGTGGTTACAGCGCTGGATTTTCACTTGCCTGACCACAGTTCAAGTCTCGGACCTGGTGGCTTAAAAATCATGCTGGGACACACGCGCATGTGGCCAAGATCCTGGGAGGAGAAGGGACGATTTCTCACTGTCACTCTCTGGCAAGTGCATGTGCCCGATGGCAAAAACTCTTAAAAAAAAAAAAAAAAAGAAAAGAAAAGGAAAGCCACCGGGTGGGCCAGAGAAGGTCCCCATGGGCAGCCCCGCCCCGCAGCAGCCTGAGGCTGCCAGGCTCCACCTGCCAGCCCCTCCCTGGCCCTTTCTGAAAGCCAACAGAAGCGTTTACAACTGGTAGCTGTCCTTCCTGCCAGTAAAACCAGGGCACCTTCCAGGAGAAAGGGAAAGGAAGCTCAGAGCTCCCCTCTAGTTAATCCCTGCCAGGAGGAGCCTCTGCTAAGACACCTTGGGACCCACTCCTCTTGCTTCGTGACCTTTTTTTTTTTTTTTTAAGAATTATTGATCGGGAACCAGCAGTTAGCGTAATGGCTATGTCGCTGGACTCCCACATAGTCGACCGCAGTTCGTGTCCCGGACCCGGTGGCTTAAAACGCACACCGGGCGCGTGTGCATGCATGCCCAAGATCCCGAGAGGAAAATGGAGGAGAAGGGATTGCGGTGTGACCATCCCCCTGGGGGGTGATTTCTCGCTTTCTGTCTCTATGTCTCTCTCTGTCTGGCGAGCGCACGCGCCCTACAGTGAAAATCTCTCCCAAAAAAAAAAAAAAAAAAAATTATTAATCTAATTCATTACATTTTTTTTTTTTTTTTTTTTTTTTTTAAATTTGGTCAGAGAAAGACAAAGGGAAAGGCAAGCCACCAGGTCTGGGACTTGAACCGCAGTCGGTCATGTGGGAATCTGGTGCCTTTAACCACTATCATGATCCTTTTTTAAAGAAATGGGGCAATTTTGTATCCTTTTCTCACTTACTCTGTGAGCGTGTCCCTGTGTCATTCAGTTTTCCTCTGTTTTTAATTGCCAGAAGGTACATGCACTCCCCCAGAGAGAGAGGAGGAGGAGGGAGCATGCTCCGCAGTGGGGTGTGGCCGCACCAGACCCCTGTTCCAGCTCTCCTTCCCTTCAGGGCCCTGGGAACGCGGGTACACGTCTCCGCTGTGTTCGTCAGGGCTGGGCCCGGGGTTTGAACCACACGGTCAGCCACGTGGAAGCCAGCTCCTTTAACCACTAGGGCACGGGGCTCCCTTACATGCTCCTTTAAAACATGGTTATTTATGAAAAAGTTCCACGTTGATACTCCGTTGGTGGTTGATAGCAGACATTCCTGATTGTTTTCTTTACTGCTGTAGCTCGCGCTACTCGGGCCGTCGTCCGCAAAACTCGTTCCCCTTACAGTGGGCGTGCGTGTGCACACGCGCTCGAAACACGCAGATTCTTCTTTATTTTGCTCTTTGTGTTTCGGTTTAGGCTGGGTGTGCTCACTGGAGAGACAGAGAGAGGGAAAGTAAGAAACCTCCCCCGAGGGGCGAGGGCCACGCCGCAGCCCCTTCTCCGTTCCCAGGACTTTGGGCATGTGCACACACGCACCGCCATGTCTTTTAAGCTGCCAGGTCCCCGGCTCAAACCATGCAGTCGGCCGTGTGGGATCCGCCTGCCATAGCGTGCATGCCGCCCACTGACCCTGTCTGTTTCCTTTGACCTTCCAAATCAGAAGGTATTCCAGCCTTCACAGAGACGTGGGCTCTGGCCCCGCAGAAGCTCACGTTGCCCCGCAGAAGCTCTGTCTTCGCGCACCTCAGCTGGAAATAGCCCTGAGGTCGGCGATGTGCTTTTCGTTTGCCTCATAGCGCTCTCTAACCGTGTGTAAGCAGTGGGCATGGTGTAAGCCCAGCTCCCACCCAGCCGTTGGTCGTGGCCGATCTGTGGTGGCTGCTCCCACCCAGGCTCCTGTGCCTTCCTGCCCCCAGCCCCTCTGAGCTGAGTCCTTGGTGGGGCTGAGGAGCCTCGAACCCTCTCAGCCAGTACTAGTGGAGAGAGGACCCAGCAGCTGGACGGGGGTGCCTGGTGGGCGCATACCCTGCGGAAGGGCAAGGCCTGTCCCATGTCCCCCCACTCCTACTGCCCTGACAGGAGCCCTGAGCAGCTTTTATCCCGGGGCTCCCTACGAGGACGGGGGGCAGCTGGCCCGCGGAGACCCCGTGTGCTTCCCCCTGATGGTCCCAGGGCTGCGTTGGGAGTGGGAGCGGGCCGTGTCTGAGGGCCTTGTTGGTTGCAGTGATGCGGACGCAGGGAAGCCTGAGGCTCATCCTCAACACCAAGCTGTGGGCCCAGATGCAGATCGACAAGGCCAGCGAGAAGAGCATCCGCATCACGGCCACGGACGCCGAGGACCAGGGTGTGAAGGTCTTCCTGATCTCGGTGAGCCTGACCCTGGGGACGGGAGGGCGAGCCGCGTCCGAGCCTGTGTCCCCCACCATGCGGGTTCCCTCGCGCTGGGCACAGGGCTAGCCCAGGGACACACCCTGCAGTGTCGCCCTGGCTCAGCTCCTAGTGGAGCGGGGCTGCACAGCCACCACGCAGGGCTGGGGCAGGGTAATAGCAGGCCTGTCCTGAAAGCCAGCGGGCGCGGCTGGAGGGGGCGAGGCAGGGGTGGCATTGCCCAGGACCCAGCCCACCCTGAGACCCTCAGGGCCCTGCAGGCAGTGACACAGGCCCGGGTGCTGCTGGGAGCCCAGCCCACGGGCGAGCCTGGGGCGGAGGGAATGCCATCCACCAGCAGCCAGGATAGTGGGGCATGGGGGGGTAGGCCTCGCTCATGGCCTGTGACACGGATCAGAGTCCTGCTGCGGCCCTGGCTCCTCCCCAGTCCCACCGCTGGGAACATGGGTCCTGGGGCCTCTCCCGACGCGGAGGAACAGCTAGGGAGTGGAGGGCATGGCGCCACACTCGCACAGATGCCGTGTGCCGCAGCCTCTGTCCTGTCAGGCGTGCGGGATGACCTCTGGGCCCGGGCCGTGGGCCAGCCCTGACTGCCCCACTGCGTGGTCCTCTCAGCCACCAGGGGACGGTGGTGTCCCTTCACACAGAGGTGGCCGGCCCGGAGCTCGTGGCTGCCCCCCCGAGCCTGCTCTGGCTGCCTCATGGCTTCACGGCCCCGCCCCCGCAGGCCTGCTCCCAGGACACGGGCCAGCTGTATGCGGCCTTGCACCACCGCATCCTGGCCCTGCGCAGCCGCGTGGAGCAGGAGCAGGAGCCCCAGACACCTGCCCCCGAGCCCGGGGCCGCCCCGTCCAACGAGGATGACAGTGATGACGACGTCCTGGCGCCCGGAGCCAGCGGAGCCGGTGAGCCCGGGCTCCCTGCCGCGGGGCGAGGGGCTGGCTTCGTAGACCCTGCTCCCACGCACTGTTGTTGACGGAGCCTCTCCGGAGGGGGCCCTGACGTCTGCCACTGTTCACACAGGCACCGGCGAGGAAGGGGACGGGCAGACGACCGGGAGCACATAGCGGCTGGAGCCGCACGCACGCACGAGGCTGCTGCTCTGTCATCCGCCTGCGCGCCCGCCGCTCCCCGCAGGCAGCGTGGAGGGCGGTGGGAGCCGCACACCGTCTGGCTGGCCGCAGTCTGGATCCGCACGTCCTGTTCAGAGCAGACTTGGGACCTGCCCGAATGTGGTTTGGGACGCGAGACCTCATCATATTGATGAGCAGAACAAAGCATTTCCGCCCTCCTTGAATTGAAATGGCACATTAAGACTTGTCACGGCTTCTCACTGGGGCTGGGAGACCCGTTTCCTCGCCGTGCGTGTTGCCCCGTGGGGAGCAGCGCCCCGCTCGCCCAGGCCCGCCGCTCACAGAAGTGTTACATGGGGCCTCAGGACGATCGCTCCGCTTCCCACGTTCTGGTCCGGGTTCATACCTTACAGATCTACGTTTCATTTTCAAAGGCTCTGGTTCTGGCTGCTTAGAGCCGAGGCACTCGTGCACGGGACAGGCACTCCTCCAGCGAGGTCCCTGCTTCCCCTCGGGGCCAGTGGCTGTCCCCACCCATTCATATTTTACGGATCTATGGTTTATTTTCAAAGGCTCTGGTTCTGGCTGCTTAGAGCTGAAGCGCTCGTGCGCGGGACAGGCACTCCTCCAGCGAGGTCCCTACTTCCCCTTGGGGCCAGTGGCTACCCCCACCCCATCCATCAGGCTGCACCGTGGGTCCTGAGCCACTGGGCCCCACCTGGCTCGGCCTGCAGAGTGCCCACGTGGAGGTCACTGGACCTAGGCGGTCCCTCAGCCCCCACCACCCTCGTCCTCCATGCCACACGGCTCCCTACCACCAGGTGCCCAGCGCACACCTGCTTCCTGCTGCCCCGCCCCATGTCACCGCCCCCAGGAGGGTCTCAGACCAGGGCTCCAGGAGGCAAAGCAGGACCCTGGCCTGGCAGTGGGGTGGGGGCCAGCCTGCAGGTGCACCCGCCATCTGGGGAGGCCACAGAGGAGGTCCCCATGCACAGGGCCTCTGGTGGCTTCAGAGGATGCCTCCCAGCCTCACCCCACACCCTGGGTCAGGTGGGCCTCCCCCCTCAGCCCCAGAGCAGCCTGAGCCGGGAAGACGGGCCCTCCCAAGTGAGGCCGCTGCTCTGCGTCCAGCCTCAGCTGATTGGGGACAAGTCAGACCAGACGATGCCCATGTGTTTTGGAACATTTATGTAAGATTGTCATATGAAATGTATTTGGGAACTACATTAAAACTTTTAACTAAAACCTGGCCTCCTGCATGCCTGGGGGCTCAGAAAGCCCAGGCCTGGCCAGAAGCGGCTCCGCCTCCCAGGACAAGGGCCCCCAGCACCCCCAGGCCCTGCCTCATGCTCCCGACCTGGGCAGGCATCCAAACTGCCCTCCCAGGAAGGCCTTCATGCTCAGCCACAATCAGCCTCTGCTTCCTTCCCGACTGGGGTCAGCTCGGTGTGAGCCTGGGAGGCCTTCTCCCCCAGGGCCCTGGTCCACTTCCACCTGGTCCAGCCGGTTCTACGGCCTCCGTCCTGCTGGGAGCCCAGGAGAGGCGGTCTGGGTGCGGGGTGGGGGTCCTAGTGGGGCTCCCGGCACAGGCGCTCCGTCACAGGTGCCAGGCGCTGCTCATCATGGCCACGAACTCCTCGTCCGTGTCCACGGAGGCACTCACGCCGCTGTAGTAGTCCTGGAACTCTGCCCGGGTGACCTGTGGGCGGACGGCCGTGAGGGGGCTATGCCGGGGCTGCACCGGGGACACGGGCACTGCAGGCCACCCACCTGCCCGTCCTTCTCGGAGGAGTCGAAGTTGTCCAGGAAGCGGCGGAGCGCCTCGTCCTCGGTCCACTCCCCGCTGCGTACCTTGGGGTGGGCGCGGGCGCTGTACACCCCACGGAGGTCGTCCACAGTCACCACGCCGTCCCCGCTGCGGTCCAGCTTGGAGAACGCAGCTGCAATGACCGCCTCCCGGGCCTGGGACATGGGGGGCTGGGAGAGGGGAGACCGTGACGGGGCGGAAGGTGGCAGGGGTCCTGAGCACCCTTAGACAAGTCCCCATCTCCCACCTCCCGTCTCAGCGTCCTCGGACACCCCAGCCCCGGAGGACTTGACCACCAGGGGTCTTCACCCGCAGCGCCCGCAGGAACTCCTCCAGGTCCAGCGTCCCGCTGCCGTCACGATCCCAGCGGCTACACACGGCCTCGGCCTCCGCCTCGTTCAGCGCCAGCCCCAGCTTGCCCAGGCCCTGCCGGAGCTCCCCGGCATCCAGGGACCGGCTCCCATCCTGGTCCAAGCGGCGAAAAAACCTGCGGCAGTGGATTCGGTTGGACGGTGTCACCAGGACGGGTGGAGGAGGTGCGAGGGGACAGCTCACCTGGCCAGACCCTGGATGCCCGAGGCCCCTCGGGACAGGCACTGAGCCCGGAGCTTCTCCATGGTGGCGTCCGCAGCGTCCATGTACGGCCGGGTGGGGAGGTCGGTGGGCTCCTGCTGGCTGGGCTCTGGGCTGGTGCTGCAAGACCGCCCTCACCTGCCTCAACGGCGGTCCTTGTGTCCTGTCTGGCGAGCCGGGGCGGCTGTTGTGCCTGTGAGGCTGTTGCTAAGGGACAGTGGCTCAGGAGACTGGGAGGGGCCCCGGCTGTAACTCCTGCAGTGCCAGGCGGGGCCGACTTGCAGGCTTCTGTGTCCCTGGGGCTACTGCCCACCTGCTTACTCAGCCAGGCCTGGGACCCGACGCGCAGGGAGGAGGGGCAGGAGTGTTCGAGATAGAGGCGAGATCATGGCGGGGGGGGGGCACTCACGCTTCGTCTTGGCAGTGCCAGCAGGTGGCGTGGAGGTTCGGGCACTGGACTCCCACAAAGCCAGCTACAGTTCGAGTCCCAGACCCGGTGGCTGGGAAATGACACTGGGCGTGTGTGTGCGCGTGCAAAACCCGGAAAGGAGACGAGAGGGGACTGCGGTGTGGCCATCCCCCGGGTGCGTTTTCTCACTTCCCCTCTTTCTCTCTCCGGTGAGCACGCCCATGCCCTGTGGCTGTGGGGGGACCGGGGCCTGGGGCCCTGAGACCCCTGACCCCATCCAGTTCAGTCTCAGGCAGTTCAGGGTGAGCGAGCCAGAGCTGTGTCTGGTGGCCTCGTCCTAGGAAGTCTACTGTCGGTCGGTTTTCAGTCCTCACACGGCGCTTGGCAGGCTCATGACAAGCTGGTGGGCCAGGCACCTTCCGGAACCACATGGAGAAGCAGCCCCCGCCCCAGCTGTGATCCCGGAAGAACCGACGTCACCACCAGAGAGCCGTCTGTTGAGGCCTCGGACACCACTCCCAGCAGGGACGGTGGGGTTTTCCAGGACCTCGTTCTGGAGCTGCTGGGGGAGCTGCCCTCCACACGGACGTGGGGATCCTCAACCCAGCCTTATCTTTTTACTTAAAAAAATACGTATTTTTTATTTGGCTTTATTTATTTTAATTTGACCAGAGAGGGACAGAGTGAGAGGGTGAGAGAGAAAGAGGAAAACTGAGAAATCAAGCGGCCAGGTCCAGGACTCGAACCACAGTCAGCCATGTGGGAGTCCAGCACCTTAACCACCACGCCACCTGCCGGCCCCAACCTGACCTTTTCTTTTCATTTTAATAATTATTTTATTTATTCATTATTTTAATTTGACTGGGGTTGGGGGAGTGAGAAAGCAATCCACCAGGTCCAGGACTCGAACCATGGTCAGCCACGTGGGAATGTCCAGCACCTTAACCACCACGCCACCTCCCAGCCCCACCTGGCTTTAACTTGTGGGACGTTGCTCTTACAGTCAGAAACCCCAGCACCGGGGCGGAGGCCACAGCTGGTGCAGAGACATTTGCCCGTAGACATTCTAAGGCTCGCTGCAGTCCTAAGCCCTCCGAGCAGGCAGAGGAATACTCCGTTGGCTCGGTTTTCTATCAGTGTTCCAAGCATCAAGAGTTTGTTTCTTGTTTTTTAGATATTTTGGCCTTAGGGTGTGTGTGCTTGCCAGATTGGTGGTGGTGGTGGGGGTGAAATCAGCCCTGGGGGAATGGCCACACCACAATCCATTTTCCTCCAGAGATTTGGGGCATGCACGCACATGTGCCCGGCATCATTTTCTTCTTAGTGAGAAGCCACCCTGGGGGGGGATGGCCATGCCACAATCCCTTCTCTTCCATTCTCCTCTTGGGATCTTGGGCATGCACGCACCTGGAGTGAATTTAAGCCGCTGGGTCTGGATTCAAACCAGGGTCGACTATGTGGGAGTCCAGTGACATAACCGTTACGCCATCTGCTGGTCCCACCACGATTTTCGAGCCGCTGGGTCTGGGACTTGAACCACTGTTGGCCGTGTGGGAGTCCAGTGACATAACTGCTACACCACCTGCCGGCCTTTCATTTGTTTTTTAATTGCTGGGGGTGGGGGATACGAGATCACCAGAGAGGGAGAAAGCACCCTCAGTGGGACGTTCGGCTATGACCCCTCCTCATCCATTTTCCGTACCGCTGGGATTCGGAACACACACGCACACACCCACTGTGGGGTTTTTTGGTTTTGCTTTTGTTTTTTTAAGAGAGATTTTTGCTGTAGGACACTTGTGCTCACTGGAGAAACAGCAAGAAAATGACCCCGTGGGTGATGGCCGCCCCGCGATCTCTTTGTTCTCCTCGAGATCTTGGCCACACATGCCCAGCATGTTTTATTTCTTTTTTTAAAGAATTATTTTATTGGGACCAGCAGTTAGCGTAATGGCTATGTGGCTGGACTCCCACGTAGTCGACCGCGGTTCGTGTCCCGGACCCGGTGGCTTAAACTCACGCCGGGCGCGTGTGCGTGTGTGCCCAACATCCCGAGAGGAGAATGGAGGAGAAGGGATTGCGGCGTGGCCATCCCCCCGGGGGGTGATTTCTCGCTTTCTATCTCTCTGTCTCTGTCTGTCTGGCGAGCGCATGCACCCTATAGCAAAAAACCTCTCCAAAAAAAAAAAAAAGAATTACTTTATTTAACTTTCTTTTCATTTTCATTTGATCATAGAGAGACAGAGTGTGTGTGTGAGAGATAGAGAGAGGGAAAGTGAGAAAGCAAGCCACCAGGTCCAGGACTCAGCTGCAGTTGGCCATATGGGAGTTCAGCGGCCTTGACCACCACACCACCTGCTGGCCCCAGTGCCCGGTGTGTTTTAAGCCACGGGGTCCAGGACTTGAACCCCGGTTGACTAGGTAGGAGTCCTGCGGTGTAACCACTATGCCATCGGCTGGTCCCCCCCAATGAGTTTTGTAAGCTACCAGGGCCAGGATTTGAATTGCAGTCAGCCATGGGAATCTGCCTTTCTTAACAACTAGGACACAGTAAAAGAATTTCTGGGGTCCATAGGTGCCATAGTGGTGAAGGTGCTGGACTCCCATGTGGTCAGCCGCTGTTCAAATCCCAGACCTGGCAGCTTGAAACTCAGGCTGGGCGCATGTGCGTGCCCCGGGTCCCGGGAGGAGGATGGAGTGGCTGCAGTGAGGCCGGCCCTCCTGGGTGTGCGGGGTTGACTTCTCACTCTGTCTCTGTTTCTGGCGAGCACGTGTGCCTTATGACAAACATTTCTCTCTCGAGAAGAGAAGGTAGGGATTCCGACAATATTGGAAGTGGCCCTGGCCCTCCGGCCTGGAGGCTGCTTCCCGTCTGAGCCCCCCTGTCTGCAGCTGTAAATGGGGCGACGCCAGCACCCACAGGCGGCCGCGGTGGGCCAGGTACACACTCCCCAAGGCAGATTCTTGGGACCCTGGGCCGCCCAGGACCGCCCCTCCCCACTCCAGGAAGAAAGGAGGACGGTCCCGGCCAAGAAGGCGTCTGGTTTATTCCTGAGCACGGACAGGCCCCTGCCTGCCTTCCCTTCTACAAACAGCGGGGCTTTATTCAGCCAGGAGCGAGAATGGGGCCGTTGTTAACTGCACTGAGGGGTCGCTGTGGGTGCCGCCAGGGTGGGCCATTGTCCTGAGGGCAGGGCGGGGGTGGCCACTGACCTTTCTGGGCTGAGGCGGGCCCTGCCCCGGGGCAGTTGCTGTGACAAGTCCCTGAGAGAGCTGCCCGTGGGGGCAGGGCAAGGCACTGTGATTCCCTCCTGCCCCTGGTTGGTAGAAGGCAGAGCACCCTGAATGCCTGGGGCCAGGGAGGGCAGCAGAGTCTCTGGGGACCTACAAGGGAGACAGTGGAGGCCAACACGCGGTGTGGTGGTTCAGGTGCTTGACTACCGTGTGGCCAACCGCGGTTCGAGCCCGAGACCGGGCGGCTTGAAAATCACACCAGGTGCGTGTGCGTGCGTGCCCAAGATCCCGAGAGGGGAATGGAGGAGAAGGGACTGCGGCATGGCCATCCCCCCTGGGGGGTGATTTCTCGCTTTCTGTCTCCATCTCTGACTCTCTCCGGTGAGTGCACGCGCCCTATGGCAAAAACCTTTAAAAAACAAAAAAAAAAGACAACTGCTTGTAAAAACCTTGAAAAAACAAAAAAAAAAGACAACTGCTTGTTACAAGGAAGGGGGACTCGGCAGGTGTGCCGGGGAGCCCCCAGACCATTCAAGGCCCGCCCGGGCTCCTGGAATATCCAGCCCTGGTGGACAGAGAACAAGGCAGACAGAAACCCCCGTCCTCACTGACAGTGAGATGTCGACAGAAAACAGCAGGGTAATGGCACCAGCCGGCCTGAGGGAGGCAGCGGTGGGAAGAGGAATGGCGTCAGATACAGTGGTCAGGGAAGGCTTCTCTGAGGAGGTGCCACTGGGGCAGCCTCCGGAGTGACGAAGACGCAACCAGGCGGAACCCTGGGGGGAAAGCATCTTGGACAGAGGGAACAGCCGGTGCAAAGGCCCTGAGGCAGGACCATCGGGCAGCGGTCAGCAGTTGGCCAGCATCTCGGCGCGTCTCCACTGTCTGCCCTCCCTTCTGCATCAGAGACCGCACACAGGACGGCGTGGGGGAAATAAATCTAAGGTGAAAAACGTGTCTACGGAAGAGCAGCGCAAGATGCAGACCAGCAGGAGGCTCTGCACTGCCAATCCCGGTCTAGGAGAAATTCTCTTGGGGCTTTCCTTCTAGCCCCGGTGCCAGAAGAAGAGAATGGGCAAGGGGGAAGGGGGCCAAGAAACGCAGATAACGTGGAACGGCTACCGTCCGCCTCCACTGGACAGAAGGGCTCAGAGGTTCGGGGCGGCGGGGGCTGCCTGGCTGGGGAGGGAGCCCTGGCCTCAGATCAGGCAGGCATGGCCCAGTCTGAAGCGAGAACTCCAGAATTTTGTGTAAGCATTGCCCAGTTTCCAACAAGAGTGATTGGTTCTAATTTTAAAAGAAAACCTGGGCTAAACATCTCGTTTATGCATTTAGCCCAAGGACCCGATTGAAACTTGGACCCTTTCGCCTGCTCTGATGTTGACCGGGATTAGGGCTCTACCTTGGGGCACCTTCCAGGACACCCCAAAGACACCCACAGCAGCGGAGGTCCATTTAAAGGGGCCTTGTCTGTCTGTCCATGCTGGAACCCGCACGCCGGGGCTCAGGGCTCACACTGTGGTCCCAAACACCGCAGGCTGGAGGGGGTCCGTGTCCTCCTCGTTCCCGGTGCTGTTGGCAAGGGGCGGACCAGGCCCACCAGGGAGTGGGTGGCCAGGGTCACCAGCTTGCAGGGGCCCCAGGCGCTCCGCCTCGGCCAGCGTGGCCAACAGTCCGGCCAGGGGTGGCCGGCAGCGACAGATGTCCTGGAGCAGCGTGGCGCGGGGCTGCAGCCTCTGCACAAGCTCGTCCTTCTCGTGCACGGTGGCCTGCAGGCTGCGGACGGTGGCCTCGGAGGTCAGCAGCTGCTCCCGGAGGGCGGCAATCTCGCTGGGGGGAGACGAGAGCGGTTACGGTCCGGGTTCTGCTTCTCCCTGCTCCTGACCGTCCCCGCGCTGGCCTCAAGGCCACCCCAGATGTCGTGTGTCTCCCCGGAATTCCTATATTAAAGCGCTGACTCCCAGTGGGGTGGCACCTTTGGGAGGGGAGTGCAGTTGGGCGAGGTCCTGAGGGTGGGACCCCAGGATGGGATTAGTGCACTTAGAAGAAGAGACAGGGGGGTCAGCAAGTGGTGTAGTGGGTAAAGCGCTGGACACTCACATGGTCAGCCACAGTTCAAGTCCCGGACCTGGCAGCTTGCTTTCTCAGTTTCCCTCTCTCAGTCTCTCTGGTGAGCACACATGCCCTATAGCAAACTTAATAAAGATGAATAAAATAAGTAATTTTTTTTTTTGGAGAGGTTTTTGCTATAGGGCGCATGCGCTCACCAGAAAGACAGAGAGAGACAGAGAGACAGAAAGTGAGAAATCAGCCCCCCAGGGAGGATGGCCATGCCGAAATCCCTTCTCCTCCATTCTCCTCTCGGGATCTTGGGCACGCACGCACACGCGCCCGGTGTGAGTTTAAGCCACCGGGTCCGGGACTTGAACCGCGGTTGACTACATGGGAGTCCAGCAACATAGCCATTACGCTAACTGCTGGTCCCATAAATATTTTTTTAGAAAAGAAGAGGCACAAGGCCAGCCCTATATCCTGGTGGTTAATTGCCAGATCTCACATGGCCTACTACAGTTCGAATCCCACCGCTGGCAGCTTAAAAGACAGACGTGTGTGCGTACTCCAGATGGGATGGTGAAACGGAAGAAAAGGGATGTCAGCGAGACCGTCCCCGCGAGGGGCGCCTTCCTTCTCCCTCTTTCTCTGTCTCTCTCTGGGAAGCATGCATGCCCCTGGCTTTTTTTTTTTTAAAGAATTTTTTATTTTACTTTTTTTTATTAGTCTTTAACTTGCCATAGCCATCAGAGAAAGAGAGAGGGAAAGTGAGAAAGCGAGCCACCAGGTCTGGGTCAGCCATGTGGGAGTCCTAACTACCATGCCACCTGCTGGCCGACCTCCTGGTAATTTTGGTTTTTTGCCTTTGGGTTCATGCGCTCACTGGAGAGTGAGAGACAATGAGAAAGTGAGAAGTCACCCCCGGGGGATGGCCAGGCTGCCAGTCCTCCTTCCGCTGGATCTTGGGCACACGTGCATACAAGCCCCATGTGAGTTTCAAACCACCGGATTGGGGACTCGAACCGAGGTCGGCCATGTGGGAGTCCAGTGACTCCCACAAGTGCTATGCCATCTCCCCAAGTGTGGGGAACCTTTTTTTTTTTTAAAAAAAAGAGATTTTTGTTATAGACAGAAAGAAGGAATGGCCACACCACAATCGCCTCTCCTCCACTCTCCTCTCACAGTCTTGGGCACGCACGCACAAGTGCCCAGCTTGAGTTTTAAGCTGCCGGATCTGGGACTTGAACCACAGCCTACTACATAGGAGCCTAGGACGAAATCATCACACCATCCGCTGGTCCCAAGGCCCCAAGGTTTTAAATGACACCAGAGAGAGCGCTCTCTTCTCTCTCTCTGTGCCAGGAAAGGACCCAACGGAAGGCACCAGTGGCAAGCCAGAGCACAGCAGCTGCTGCGTGCTGCTGTCGGACTTCAGCCTCCGTTTAAGCCAGCCCGCTCCACAGTCTCATGGAAGCCCAAGCCAAGGCAGCCCTCCTTGTGCCCCTCACTCTTCCCAGCAGATCCTGCTGCCCCTTTTTCTCCCATGAACTTTTTCAACATTATTATTATTTTTCATTTAACTTTATTTATTTATTTATTTTAATTTGACAGAGAGGGACAGAGTGAGAGAGAGGGAAAGTAAAAAAGCAAGCCACCAGTTCTGGGACTCGAACCATGGGTGCCCATGGGGGAGTATAACACTCTTAACCACCTCGCCACCTGCTGGCCCTGTCCTGTGAATTGTTTTGATCTATTTTTATTTAGAGGTTTTTGCCTTAGGGCAGGTGCGCTCACCTGAGAGAGAGAGACAGTGAGAAGGAAAGTAAGAAATCACCCCCCCACCACCACCCAAAGGGGGATGTCCACACTACAATCCTTTTTCCTCCATCCTGTGCTTGGTGTGATTTTCAAGCCTCCAGGTCTGGGACTCAAACCAAAGTCAGGCATGTGGGAGTCCAGCACCTTAACACCGTAACCCCTGCTGGCCCCAGGATGGCTTTTCTGTATTTTTAATTTGCTATAGAGTATGTGTCCTCACCAGAGAGACAGCGAGAAAACGAGAGAGAGAGGGAGGGAACTTGAGAAGTCACCCCCGGGAGGAGGGCCACTCTGCAGCCCTCCTCCATTCTCTTCCTGGGATCCTGGTCATACGCATGTGCCCGGCATGAGTTTCAAGCCACCAGGTCTGGGACTCGAACCGTGGTCAGCCGTGTGGGAGTCCCAGCAGCATAACCACTAGGCCATCTGTGGGCCCCACCCGTGAGTTCTTCATTGGTGCTCCCCTTGGGCCCCCTCAGAGCCCTGAGCACCCCCGCTGTCACCGCCCAGAAATGTGCGTCTCCCTGCTGGACCCTGAACTCGCCGGGGCAGGGCTGTGCAGGCGTCTCCTATGTACCCTGGTACCCTGTGCAGTCCTGGCACATAGTAGGTGCTCAGTGAGCATGAACGAGTGAGTCCAGTGGCTTTGAACTCATTGTTTCCCACCTGGGCCCTGGTGTCGTCCCTTTCAATCCTGCACTGCCAGAGAGACTCTAAAAACACTGATTCAGGGACCAGTAGATGGCATAGTGGTTACATGGCTGGACTCCCACAGAGTCAACTGCGGTTCAAGTCCCGGACCCAGTGGCTTAAAACTCACTCTGGGTGCGTGTGTGTGCCCAAGATCCCGATAGGAGAATGGAGAAGGGGTTGAAGCATGGCCACCCCCCTGGGGGTGATTTTCTTACTCTCTGTCTCCCTCTATCTAGAAAAAAAAAAAGCCGGCAGGCGACCTGGTGGTTAAGGCCACTGGACTCCCACATGGCCAACCATGGTTCGAGTCTGGGATGTGGCAGCTTGCTTTCTCACTTGCCCTCTTTCTTACTTTTTTCCTCCCTGGTCAAATTAAAAATAAAA